ACGTGTGCTTTTGTGACGAATGCAATATTAACATTGTATCTGTATGTCGTTTGTTAATATGTTTATCATTGATATCTACCTGTTAATCGAACCGTATCTGTGTCATCGTGATGATTCATTCGAATGATAGAGTCCATGAAATATTCTGCAGTTTCTTTGCTGGTATGTTTCTTTCAGGAATATGTTTGTGTGTTTTGAATTCACTATGTATATATTTTGTAGCTTGTAGAATATTGTCACTGTTTTTCCATCGAGCGACACGCAATAAATATCATCTATGTTCGGCAATGTATTGTTGTTAGCATGACGGGGAACACATTGAAATATGAAAATTTACATATAACATGACATTAACAAATTGTTGAATGAATTTATGAATTCATAATGCAAAACTATTTTGTACTTTACCCCAAAAGTTCACATTAAAACGAACTAAGATTGCTCCTCGGATATACTTCCAAACAAATCTTTGTCGAACGCTATCGATTTGTAAAAAACATGCCCTTGTTTTCATACAATGATTAATATACTCATGAAACATAAACTCTCTGTTGTACTGTGCACGTGTAATCTAAGAGCCCCACCCCTCAGCCTCCCCGACCCCCTCGCGGTTCCCATGCATGTCCCGACCCCACGGGAGGAAGCGAGTTGGAAATCAGTGACACAGACAATCACATCGTGGCTGGGGATTTATTGGAGGCCTCTGTCGGCGATCCGAGAAATCTTCTAATTAATCAATTAAAGATAGGATAAGATAAAGTGCTGGTAATATTTCCGGCCAAGGGGTATGTTTAATATTGTGTTAATAAGCAAATCACGAACGTTGGTGTCCTTAGTATGAATTATTTATACAATACACAAGTATGAGGAGGCTATATAGACAATTATCCTTCCAGCGAGGGTTACATGGTCTAATAGCAAATGCCCTTCGTTATTAGCTAGGAGCGGCCCAACTAGCATGCTTATTAAACATTCATAGATAAAACACATAAAGAAGACTTGTTGAAATTGTAATAAGCCCCTCCGTGATCCAAGGCTGTAAATAACTGCCCGAGAACAATGATTAAAGTAACTCGGTACATTCCCGTAGAACATCAGCTGTAATAACGCGGATATACCGAGCACTGAGAGCAACTAGCGCATTGTCAAAATGTGAATAGCAACGAAATATTTTCAAAGAAATCGTATACTATCGACTTTATCATAAGAGTGTGTGTGGTTGAAAATGTGTTGTAAGATAATTAGTGAAAAAATGAATTAAAACTCAAGTGTAGTGTTTTGCTGTGCTTAATCATTTATTTGTTTGGAAGCCGTTGGTTCTGTTTTATTTTGTCATCTGTTTTAGTATTCGGAGAGTTGGTGATGAATCTTGAGTTTGTTATATTTAGATGTGGGATTGGTATAACATAGTGTGTTGATGTGCAACTTAAAGAAGTATATATAAGTTCATCATTAGATTGCGCACAGCACTGAGCTCATGTATAGGGTGTTATAGTTTAGGACATATTATTTTATATTTAATAATCAGTTGATATATGAAAATTATAAATAGCACGTTCAGTAATTACTTCAGATTATCATATCATTTCTTTAAAAAATGGTTTTGACAAAGAGTTACTGTTCTGTGATCTGATTTTTACATAACTTTCCATCCATAATCGAATATAGTTAAGACTTATTAATCTATTTAACTTAATATATTTTAGATATTATTATTTTACAATATACTTCATGAAGGATTCATGTCAACTATAAGTACCAAGTATGCGATTTATATCAAGGCATGTAATTGTACAACCTATTCACATCGGGCCAGCACTATTAGAAGGATGACCACGCATTTCAACAACTGTATAAATTACACCCGCGTTAAATTCCCATACAAACACGAAAGCAACTAAATCAAGGTAAATTATATATTTGTCGATTTTTTTCTGTCCGTGTCACAATTTCTGTTGCCGTGGTGACGGTGTGGCGTAGCGGGATCAGAGACACGTGCAGGTTGCAGAGTCAACAACAACGACCTATGCCAAATGTCCGTCTCATCTTGTCAGTCTGTGCATGACCTTTAACCAAATGTACATAAGAAGTACAACTTCAAGAAACTCGGGCTTAGACGTGAAGAAAGTTTGCTTTGGTTGGGGTCCTCGAGTGTAATTATTTGTTAAAAATCAAACGACCTTTAAGCGATTTACATTTTCATATTGTGATGACATATGTCAGTTTTATGATGCAAAACGTTCAGTGACAGATTAGGCCGATCAAATAACAACTTAAACACCATCTGGGTTCGGATTATTAAAGGTTGTTTTCATTCAATATTTATAGTTAAAAAGGTACAGGTTAGGAAAAATAATGTATTTGATTTTAGTTTGTTTATTGGTTTAAATATATACTTTCATGAAACAGTTATATGTGTGTTTCTTGGTATTGACTAAAGCAATGACGCAATTACACATGAAATGTATTGAGATTAATATATACACACAAAGTTACGGACTACGTAATGAAATATCGATTTTAAATGCATTGGACACCTCCCTACTTCGAAACATCGATTTCAAAAGCTGTAAATCGTCTTGGTTCGCACCATTATTTTCCTATTGTCAAAAAATGTCATAAATATTACTCAAAGTTTCAATTACATCACAAATAATCTATAGCTATATACGTGTTTCTTCTAAATGACCCCTTTTATTGTACCATAAAGCGTCGTTCCTGTTGTAAGTAACAAAAGCTCAGCAAACGCCATTTCTTCATTATCAAAAGCACTTATAGGGTAGAAATAGGTGGCTTACGGTAAAGCTAGAGTTGGGAGCACTGCTCAATTTGGCAATCACCTTGCCACCGTCTCTGTCACCGACTTGGAGTGATAGACGTCAAATCAATTTCACTTGACTCAGATCTGTATCTTTACAACGATATTGCCGCAAGTGATCAGCTAATACCAGATATACTGAATAAATGATTATTTTACAAATATTATCGAGTTATTTGAACAATTAACATCATTTACATGACAAATGTGACATTTTCTTAAGATATGAATATATTGATGTTATTGTATATGGAGCGAAATGTCATATGAATAGGGATACGTGTGTAGGTATGATAATTATGGAAATTTGTTTCAATTAATTACAGTTACAGTAACACCAATAATTGACACTGTAAAATATGATATTGTTTATGGGTTGATACATATTGATGTCAATATTTCCTTTATTAATCACCTGAAATTAGCGATGACATATGTTTGGTGTTGGTCGTGTTGATCATATAGCGATCTAGTTATTATTTCCTCAAAACATCCCCCCCCCCAAAAAAAAATAAAAAATCCTAAACTAGCAATGCAATCACACGAACAATATATTTTGAAACCGGTCTCCAATTTTCAATATCGTCGCGTTTCGTGTAAGGTGTAGCAAGAAATTAGAGCATTTATTAACACGGCGACACTATGGCTTTGTTGTGCACGCCGCTTGCTTTTAATGAACACAGTCTCGATTTAAAACAAGAAACAGTCAAGACTGTAATTTCAACCTTGCAAAGCACGCTGAAGTGGACAAATGCAGAGTCGCTGCTGGAGGAAGAGATTCCTCCTTTCTCACCTGACCCCATAGTAAAAGCTTCAAGTTCGATACGCAATAAAGTGAAGTCACTTGCAGTATACGGCTTGAGAGCAAGATCGTCACCGCCTTGCATGTAGAAGCGCTGCCTTCCTGCTTGAAGGCTGGTTATATTGGACAAGATGGACGGGTGGACACCAGGAGACGGCCGTCGCAGCGTAGGCGCAAGCGTTCCGGGTAGGTGAACATGTTTACGTGAATTCAATGTGTTTGGTAATTACTGACGGACAATTGGCACACACCTTACCTTCACAGTACCCGGATTTTTGTCTTTTCACCGGAGTGCAAATACGTGGTTAGCATTTTGATTGAGACAAGCAAAGGTTGGTGATAGCGTTTAGTCCCTTACAGTTTTGACGTGCAAAGGTTAGCATGTTTGTACAGAGATGAAATGAATGTAGCTGGAGCAATGTCAATTTTATAGGCTACCTTCTCCAAGTGTCACGTGAAACTTTGTAAATATTGACAAATCATGCCCCATCCCGATTGACTTATTTCATACCGCGAGACCCACTGCTTCCAACACTTAGAACAAATTTGGCCTTTTGGAAAATGAAAGAAAATTTCTCCTTTAATCATGCGAGAAGTGCTCAAACGACGGTTAGTAAAGCCAGGCGCTCCCTGACTGGGCGCCCCTCTAAGAAAATTGACATTAAATTTTCCAGTATTTGTTTTAGCTGGGGCTCTCAGTGTGCATAAGATGGCAGGGGTTGAGTTGTACAAATCCAACGTGATGATGGGGCCCTAACCTAAACACTCTATGGGACACTTCGATACTCGCTAAAGTCTTCAATATTATGGCAAAATATAGAAACATGATCACCAGCATGTATTGGCTCGTACACGTTCGCCTTTCTTTTATTTGCATGAAAAGCCACTGGAGCAGGCTTCCGCTAACGTAGTTCCGACAACCTGAACAACACGTCGATATTCTCATTTTGCGTTTTTAGCCGAAAACAATAGAAGCTCATTCAGCCGTGCAAGTTAAAATTTGAACGACAAAAGAAGGTTTTAAATTTATGATATTAATATTTTATGATTTTTTCCTCAAACTTTAGATAACAAATATAGATAGCTTCATCTTTACCTTATCAAAGTTTATTGCCGGGGATTTTAGACCACGTTTCTCTCCGTGATGAAACAACATGAAAGTAGAGATCAATCAGTCACGACAAAACGCTTTTTTAACGAATTCTTCCTTGAGTCGCCATCTCTATGTCAATAGCATCCCAGGGCTGGGGAGAACGGGATGTGACAGAGGAGAGTTGACACTTTCACTCAGTACTGAATACAGCGCGATTGGCGAATCCATGTAAGCTTACGGCTTGGACGCCACCAGGGATCGCCTACCTTGCAGCCCGCTAAGCATTAGCGCGAGGGAGGGAGGGAGCGAGTATGAGAGAGGGGAATTGAGACGGGACCTTTCCATCCGTGTATTTGTTTTGAGGACACGATTGATGCGGCGGGTGGTAGCTCGCTAGTAGCGGCTTACACGATCGTGGCGGAGAAACAAAAGCTGAGGTATAGCTGCAGTGAGCCGCGACCCCCCAAGCCACACAAACAGACAGCAGACTTTTAATAACGCAGCGATCGAGAAAGGGACTCGCACAACGCCGATGTTGCTGTTTTTCATTTGAACAAACTCTCGCCAATTATCAGGCATGTACAAAAGGGGATTATTACCATAAATAAAGCGTACCGCTTCGGCCTGCGTGAATGGGCGATTTGCTGCGAACGGAGCTCATAAATTGTTCCATAATTCTGACGGATACATTCCTAGCAATTTGACAGCGGCTTCAGTTACCGAGATCTCTCAGCTCGGCTGTCTTTGTATACGAGGCAGAGTCGTCGCTTATGACTCATATGAGTAGGATGGTGAGTCCCAGAGCAGAAGAAAAGTTTGTTTGGTGAAGTGCAAGCGTCCAGTGTGACCACCCGACCTCACTGCCCACTGTCCGGACTGAGACTGACAAATCAGGAGAGGGCTGGCCCCCTGCCCCCTGTTACGTAACGCCAGAAGAAAGTGGCCCGGCTATCGCCGTAACAAAGACACCCCTCTCCCTATTGGCAGCGGTCTCGGCGTGAAAGGAACACGTTTTGATATGGACCGAGCAGACAATATGTTTTTATTTGCACGTGAATACTTTATCACGGGAGCAAACTCGTTCAAGTATTACATTTGCTTCGCCGCTGTCAAGTCGTGCTCATGGCGGGCTAGTAATTGAGACCAGGATCAAAGCCAATCAAAAGTCTTCTTACAATTTGATTATGATAATTACAGCGGGCATTATTTGATAGTTGATAATCATAATTCGAGCATGCGCACCAAGGGTCCGACTATATAAACCGGAATATCACAACAGAGCAAGTTTTGTCATCGAGTGGTCTGGTGGACACTGCCAAATATGTCCCGACGTAAACAGTCAAATCCTCGCCACTTGGACTCGGAACTGGAGTTAGCGTCTCTCCTTGAAAATGGTAAGTTGATTTTTTTATCGATTGTTTGCGACCAACGCGGACATGTAGTCTAACGCTACACGTGCATCGGCATTCGCCAGGAGTTGGAAGTTTAACTACCTGGGTAGCCCAGCTGATTGCGAGTCAACATCGCTTCAAATTCCCGCCATCTAACCGCTGTCAGTTTGTGTCGTCTGCTTCAGTGGTGTTTTTTTTGTCTGTCTATCTTGTCAAGTGGCTGCCTTGGGGGACGCTACTTAGCACATAGCAGACAACTAGCTTCGATTCTTACCCCGTGAGTGCAAGTGCTAAACAGTTTGCAACAATTGTTTCAAGGATGTCTATTTTGACGTGTGTTCGTCTATTTTCATGTGTCGGTTGTCAATCAAGCACCTTTACTTCAGTAGGTAGGATCATCACTGACAATTGACAATTATCATTAATACTTTAAACAACTGAAACAACCTAATATTCATTTTTTAGACTGCAAGTTGTATTTACTTTGAAAGCTTTCAATGATTGTATACTTTGAATAAGTATATTGATATATGTATAAGTAAAGTTGTAAAATAACAGATTTCTCCCAAATGTATCAGTTGTTTTAATTATGTTCAAATGTCATATAGAATTATTTAACTTAAGATTAAATTAAACTTTCTTCAATCAACCAACTACTACCCATGAGAATACCTACGGTACTATTTGTGTGTCATGTATTCGGGTAGGGGGGGGGGGGGGGGGGATATATGAGGGGCGTAGCGTCTTCCGGAGTTTACAGCATATACGTGTTCAATCAGGGCCTACCTGTCTAGTGTAAATAACCCACTGAACAGGTATGATTTCAAATGACATTTTTTGCGTCTTGGGTACAATAGAACAAATATGTGAAACTAAATATCTGACGTGCCTAATTTATGAGTCGAAACTGTACAAACAAATGTGTCATATTTCAGGCGAGGCATAACTTTAGAGGTGATTTTATTTGAAATAAGTGGACTGTTTCATAGTGAATAGGTAACAGAGACTCGATTACAGATCTTTTCATAAAAAAAGCAGGTGGAGGTTGTTTCCTGGCGACATATGAATAGCCTTATTTTATTTCATAAGGAGCGTCATGGGTGTACCAGGATCTTAGTTCGGCATTTCTTTTACGCCTCAGAATATATCCGTAAATATATAAGATTTATTTGATAAAGGGGATGCAAGACATTTCCGAGCAGTTTTCATTTTAGCCACATTCCATTAACACTCAGTAATTATATAAAAAAAATCCCAATTTTCATGTCAGTGAAAAACAATTTGTGGATAAGCTTCGAAATAATGGGAGACTGCTTGATAGTACAATGGCTATTGAAAATCAGTCGCCGGAACGAAGCATTTCTGAAAACAAGTCAAATACTTTTGTATACGTCCTTTGTCTCTCAGGCAATTCTTTTCATTACTTGTGCAAACAATGCTTTCGAGGGAAACGTAACTGTTAAGAAAATACTCTTCGCTTATGTTTTCTCACGTAACTTAATGACAGGGAAAGTCTTCAAGCGGCTGGTTTAGCACTCGATACATTTTTCGAGGGATCAGTAACCAAGAGTATGCGACGGACATGTCAAACCGCTAAACTTAAGACTTACGATATTTCCCAATTCAAACAAATGCTATTATAAATCATAAGCAAAGGGGACCCTTACTATCACAAAACCATACAAAAACTACTCGGCTCCTGTCAAAGCAATCTCGACACAAACTCTGATAAGACACTCTAGTACAATGGTAGCCTCCCTCAACCGCGCGCAACTCCCAGAGAGCGACGACTAGTGCCCGTTGCTAAATGATATGATTATTTGTAACTTTTACCGATATTTGTCGTGTTGAAGGATTTATAGATACCTAGTACCCGGCAAGGTGTTCTGTAGCCTCGCGGCCCTTAGGTACGGCATTACAACGTTGCCAAGGACGGAACGAGAGCTGATTTTTGTGGTGATGAAACCAATATAGTAAAGTTTCTCTTGACAAAACATTTCATGACAAGTTCATTTTTTAATGCTACATAAATACATATTTTCTTCTTCATTCGTGTCTTTTGCCTTCATTCGATGATCTCGTATTTTTGGTCATGAATATATATTTTTAAGGAACAAATTTATCCATTGTGTAGATGTACACATAAGTTTTTTTGTGCACGAATTGAAGTGTATTATAATGTTCAATATGTCAAGTGACAATACTTCACCAACTACAATATAAACATTTTTTAGAAAATACACTTTTTTATTTAAACTTTAGACAACATCTTATGTCATGAATTAAAAAAATGGTCCATATTTTATAGGTTTCCCTGTCAGATGCAATTGGTATACATGTACAAAGTTTAAATCATTCCTTTACATTAATGTAAGAAGTGTCTTTAATACTTAATAAAACGAAATAATACATAATTTCTTATATATTAATGATATAATTTTAAATCTGAAATGAAACACTTCCATTTAATGGCTATGAAAATGTTTTGGCACTTTCCATGCCTTTTGAATGAAAACAAAATCACTATTACAAATTTGTTGCATGAAATAAGAATTCATTATTTGAAAATACATTGGAATATGTAATATTTTGACATCAACAAATAGTAATGAACAATTATTTTATTAAGTGGGAATACAGGCATGGCTCTGTCGACTTCCAGGAGGCATAGGGGAACGATACATGGGTTCTGTGTGCTATTTCATGGTCTTCCGTGCCATGGTAAAGTCATTAGTGTTTTGTCTTTCTGGAAAAGTCATCTGAAGTATAAGTCATAACTTTTCCAGCACATTTCGATTTCGCCTTTTCTATGGTTGAACGAATACCTTGATACTGAACATCCCATCGGTTTATGAATCACAATTTTGCCATATTTCTTGCCTTAAAAAATGAAAACATGATAAAGTGATTTCTTTCGCACATGATCAAAATGCAGATACAATTCAGGATTGTTATTTTTTACTGCAGCTATTCCACATTAAAAAAACATTTTTATGTAAAAACATTCTGGAGAAGAGACTAAAACCGCTATTCCTATTTTTTCTAGTTTCTAATTTATTAAATGACTTAAAATAACAACAGTAACCATGGTTTCAAACTAATTGCAATCCAAATTGAATGTGATACTGTGAATAATGTTTATTAAATTCATATTCCAGATTAGATATCTACCCAAATTAATATCATAATTTATTGAAGGTCTTTCTTTTTCTCATAAAGTTCATTGTGCAAATTAATCAACTTTACTTTGAATTATTTATAACATATTTATCCGTTGTTATAAAATTGATATTCTATACAGGGCTTGAAAAAGCATTATCATTCTGATCTTTGATTAAGGTATGTGACATCCTTGTCTCCCACACAGGTGTGTAAGGGTTGGCGCAGGATCAATTTGCATTGACAATGAATTATTGATGGATTGTAATCAAGACAAACCTGCAGCTGCTGTGTATTTAATTTTAATTTGTATTAATCAGTTCTTTTCTTTGATAAATACATTCATGTCTTTCTCAGCTAATCCTATTTTCTCAAATGGAGAGCCAGAAATAGGTGTATATGAAATGAAATGAAACAAAAATATTTAATAAAAGCACTTGGGTAAATTTTGCAATAATCTTACCAAATTGTGACAAGACATTACTATTCATATCTATTTAGAATTATGTTTGAAAATGTATTCTGCATTCTGAAAAAGGGAGAGTGCCTTGAAAGAAAATAATTTTAAACAGTTACGACATAAAATGTATTTTCAAAATAGGAGTGGTATTTGCCAGTTTTAGATATCTATACCATATGATAAATGATGTACCTCTTTGACATACACAACAGACATGCCTTAACAGCTGCTTGTAAATGTGGAAATGTGAAAATTTTGGCATTTGCTATTTGAAGATGAATCTGGCATGTCTTAATGACTGTTCTATGGAGAATTGTGACATTGTTGAAAATATGAAAATGGCTAACAAGAGAGTGATTGGGTTAGACACACAGCCTTTGTTTAGCCCTGGGGAAAGGCCAGATTAATACAGGTCTTTGGACGCTATTAATATTTTGGAGGCTTTAGGGAATTGATTCCTCATTTTCCCTTTCTCATTTTTTTCAGTTTGATAATAGATTTTGACTGGCCAGCCTTGAATTTAATAGATGTGCATCATGTTCCAAGATTATGGGCTAGCTGCGTCTAAGCTGAATCATTATTTCATTTTATATAATCCTAAATAAAATTTCAATTTTTTAAAATTTACAAAATTAATTTGTAACATTGATTTGCCTTTCTTTGAAATGCTGTCAACTTGGTTTTGTAGCTGTGAGCTAATGATGGTGAGGTGAAGTCTTATTTTTAGACTTTAATGAGATAGCACATTTGTTTTTAAGTTGAGAATTAAATTGTTTCCCTTTACATGCTTTGAGTGATTGTACTGACTTCCTTCAGCAGATAGTACAGGCTTGCAACGCCATAAAAAGGTCACTAGTTTGACCCCTAATCAAGGAAACCAAGGAAGTTTGTTTTCTCTACAGAAACTTAACGCTGGTTGTAGTACAATTGTTCTATCAATAGATCCGTCTGGTTTCACGTATACTCAGTGAAATCTGAATAAAAGTGAAAAATAAATGTTAATATGTAAAACAATTACTATCATGAAATAGTTTAAAATTTTTATCGACCTTTACAATATTGTCAAATTAAAATCTGTAATAGCTTCTATGTCTATTCTATGTATTTATCACCTATAAAATGTGGAGAAATATTATGTTTTAGGCATCATTTCTCATAGCAGTCTTTGGCAATACTGGGTTAATGGTCTATACATGAATGAAAGAAATATTTGCAAGCAGTATTTTGTAGTTTAATCAAATGACAATATCATTAGTTTTGCGTTTATTGGATAAGTTATAACCTGATATTTGAGGAGTTGTGTTGTGGTAGTTTCTTTAGAATACAATAAATGAAACATGTATTGAAGGCCTTACTCTAGAGGTTAACAAAATATAAGTATTCC